ATCTCCTCTCTGCCTCCACAGCAACTCAGTCTGTAATGTTCGCGGGGTCTTTGTTCTCGCGTCCTGGCCTCCGGGATTGGATGGGGCCTACCTGGCTCTGTGCATGCTTTTCAGCTGGAAATTGTGGTGGTATGCATCCAGCCCACACTCGGTCCCAGGAGCCCTGCCACTCCCGGAGAACTTGCTGCCTGGGCACAAGGCGCGGGGGGCTGGGGGAGCCTGCTTGGCCGGCTCCGAGGGCCTGCTTGCCCCGCCCGTCCCCTGGGCCTCCCTGTGCCTAGCAACTCAGTCTGCAATGTCCGCGGGGTCTTTGTACTTGCATCCTGGCCTCCGGGATTGGATGGGGCCTACCTGGCTCTGTGCGCGCTTTTCAGCTGGGAATCGTGGTGGTATGAGTCCAGCCCACACTCGGTCCCAGGAGCCCTGCCACTCCCGGAGAACTTGCTGCCTGGGCGCAAGGCGCGGGGGGCTGAGAAAAGTAAAATTTGAAAAATTCATCAATGGGAGATGTGAAAGGGGAGAGAAAAGTGAGATAAGAGGTCCTATGAGAACAAAAGGAAACAGGAACCAAACAGCAACATAACAGTAACCAAAAAAGTGAGAAAAGGAAGAAAAAATCAAAATAAAGGACTAAAAGAAAATGTTGAAAAGAGGAAAACCACAAGCCCCCAAAAACCAAGGAATGAAAGAGAAAGGAAAAGGAAAAGAATTGGTTTCATTTTTTTAAATTCTTCTTTTTGAATGCTCGCTCCTTCCCAGGATCTGCAGTCTCAGAATCCTGCAAGTCAACAGTTTTCTCCAAATAGCTATATGGCCTGTGGGCTTGAAAGGTGCCCTCCCTGTTCCAGAGGCCCCTCTGTCTTCCCCGAGGCTGTCACAGCCATTCAAGCTGGGATGTGCCCTTGTTCACAGTGCTGGATGGGAAAGCATTCAGCATGTGTGCCAAAGGGCAGGGTTTCAAGCAGATCAGATCCAGTCTGCTCTGTATACCACACTCTCGGAGCTGGTTTCTCCCTGAGGAAGGCAGACCTTGTGTCCTTCAGGGCCTGAGGTTAAACTTCTCAAGGGTCTGTGTCAAGCCCACTCTCTGTGGGCATCTCCTATGGCTGTCTCGCACCCAGTCGCTAGTAGCACTAGAGACCCTGAGGTAGAGTTGTTCTGTGGCTGTCTTAAACAACCCTTTCCCAAAGTGGAGCCTGATTAAACTCTCCCTGGCACTATGGCGAGTGAGTTTCTTATCCAACTCTAGCCTGCAGTGAAGGAGTCACTTTCCCAGTAAAGCCCCGTGCTGTATTTGGAGTTTACAGTACCTGGGCTTTTCTTGGGGCTAGCACTGCTGACCTGGGCCTGCTGGTCCCTCAGGGCTTACCTTCTCTCCCTGCGCATTGTCCCCATCCATGATTAGGTCATTGATTATTCAGCTGCTCTGCTGCCCTGTGCCAAGGGTAGATAAAACATACAGCCAGTTTGGAGTTACCAGATGGTCACTCCTGGGCATGATGTTAGTCAGGGACCAAAGCATGTAGCTGCCGTATTGTCCCATGCCGGGATGTGGCTGCTCTGTGTTTTTTTTACAGCTTCATGAAGGCTGTTCGCTTTTACTTCCCAGCCACTGTACCTATTAGCATTCACTCCCTGTTCTCCCACCCCAGGCAACCACTAGGGTGCTTTCTGTCTATGGATTTGCCTGTTCCGAACATTTCATACCAATGGAGTTATTGGCGTTTCACTTAGCGTGTTTTCAAGGTCTACCCATGTTGTAACATAAATCAGTCCTATATTCTTTTTTATGGCTCAGTGATAGTCCAATATGTGAATAGGCCACATTTTATGTGGCCTACTTATGTGGCCTTTCTTTTGCTTAATGACTTTCTGAACTTTTTATGTATTTGTTAGCTGGTTGATACGTGGTTTCCACAATTTTGCTATGAATAATGCTGCTGTGAACATTCACATGGATCTTTTTATTTGGGCATGTTTTCAGTTCTACTGGTTATACTTAGAAGCAGAGCATTCAGATTCTCTGCATTCTCATGACCAGTTTTTGCTGTCTTTTATTATAGCCATACTAACTAATTAAGTCTCAAACGACTAAGTTAAGCATCTTTTCATGTATTATTTGTACATTTTATTTGAAGGCAGTGTAATTAATATATATTCACATTATATATGTGTTATGCTTTCTTGGTTTTTTTTTGTACTGGAATTGTACTCAGGACCTTGCGCTTACCAGGCAGGCACCGTACTTCTGAGCTATACCCCAGCCCCTCTTGTTTTTTTAATGGTCATAATTTTTAAAATAAAAAACCAGACCTTTTAAGCAATGTAATATAGCAGTTGTGGAAATCGTTTACACACACATGTGGGGTGGCTTTCTTTTGCTTAGTGACTTTCTGAACTCTGTGAGGTCTCTGTTGTGTGTAGCCCCTGAAGTCTCTATTCCCTTAGGTTAGTAGCCGGCTAATAATTGGACAGATTGGAAACAGAACACTGCTGTTCTCTAGTGTGGGCCTCTGTGGACCCATACTGGGGCACACCTTCCACACACAGCCAGGCAGTTTGTGGTTCTGGCTTAGAAGATCTCCACTTATGTGCTTAGGTCTGAGCGCACAGCCTTTGGAACGTGTCCAGCTTTAGCACATGCATATAGCCTCCTAGAGTCCAAGCATATGTCAGAGTTCTCAAAGCCTCCTGTGCACAGTTAAGTCTCACTTTTCCTGTTCCCTTTTTGATGAGCCTATTGTCCACTCTGACCATGACCCACCCAGTCAGCTGAGGTGTTCAACAGTTTCCTCTAGTTGTTTTCTTTAAATGTCCTGAGAGAACAGCTATCCACCCTGGTGTGGTCAGAGAAAGAGTGAGATCACATAGAGAGAGCTTGGGAAATCAGGTCATCCAGAAAACCCCCAGACAAATCATGCCCGTGGCTGGAAGTCTGACAGTTCTCTGGGAATGGTTTAAAGGCACTCTAGTCTCATCTTGTCTCTTCTGTTGCTACCAAGCTGCTGGTTTCCAAGGTTAAGGCAGAGCTTTGGGAGTATGGTGGGCTAGGTATGATGTAAGTTTAAAATAGCACAGAGCTTCCTGTGCTTAGTGAGATTCAGCCATTCTAATGAATAAATGCTTTCCAGATTGCCACAAGCATTCAGTTAATTTCCAGAATTCTAAAGAAGTTGATACTGTAGGTTTGCCAGTGTTGTATGCTTTTATGGAGGAGAGAATTTCCAACAGTCCTTACACTGTCATTTTTACTGATGTCACCACTCGTGAAAATTAGATGGCTACAGATTTTTTAGTGTGCATGTTAATATTCTGAAAAAAGAGACACCATTTTGTGACTTAAAGCAATGGTTTTTCTTAACAGAATCTTACTAAAAATCACGAATCTGTTGTAAAAGAAATTCAAGAAGATGCAGATGCCAGTAGACAAAAAGTGGGTCTTGAAGATCACATGTTTCATAAGCTGATAGAACCTGAGCAGACTTGGAGCAAAAAGACTCAGAAGGTAAAATATGATGAAGGGGAGTTAGCATTGGTCATTTTCTATTTATTTATTTATTTACTTTTTGGTACCAGGAATTGAACTCAGGACCTTGCACTTGCCGGGCAGGCGCTTGTGCCGCTGAGCTGTATCCCCAGCCCTATTGGTCATTCTCTTAAGGGAACATATTTAAAATAAAATTTTGTGCAGTTGACATAATTCATTTCTTGGCTTCATTTGTCACAGTTCCTAAAATCTCACATTGCTTTTTTTACCGGATGCTTATTTCATTTGTAATCATATTCATGTATCCTTCATACCCTTTAAGACTCTTTAAGACATTAACAAATGCAAAGGAAATTGTCACTTTACAAATGATACTGTACTGTATCCACCTCAGAAACTGTCCCTATGTGGATGTGGTTACAGAACATCACTTCCTTGTACACTTCCAAAGCATACTCTGTAGAATATTAACTGTCATTCAGCAAAGTGGTTGATAGTCAAATAGAGTACTGGAAATGCCTGCTGGGTGATGTGCTGAAGTTAAGGCTATTGTCTATTGTGAATCTAAGAAATTTTTTTATATTTATTCTCTATAACTTAACAGAGTGCCCTTTTGGCAGTGTTGACTTAAATGAATTGAAATAGAACTTCGGACACTGATAAAAGAGCTTTTTCTGTTTCCCCCTTAATAAAACAGTAAGTGCATATGTGTTCCAGGCTGACCCTATTCCAACAACCAGAATTAGTGTAAGAAAGAAATGCTACTCTACAAGAGCCCCTTAGCTGGTTCCCCCTAAGTATCGCACTGTTCCTTTTCTTATAGGCTTTTGTCCAGTCTGTAAAAGTGGGCCCTTCTGCCTCTAATTTCAAAGTGCTGAACACAAAAGTTGTTGAGGCTCACCCACCCCTTACCATGGAAGTTAGCATCACTTCAAGAGCTTTTTAAAAGTACTGTACCCAGCTCTTCCAGAGATCAGCCTACCTGCTTCATGGTGGGGCCTGGAAGACAGTGTTCTTGAAACACTCTTAGATGACTGTAGCATGCAGCCAGGGTCACAGATACCTGTCCTAGACACTTGGTACATTGAATCGACATACTGTACCACAATTTTACATGTTGGACTTGTTTCTGAAATTTGTAACTTTTGCTTAGCTAATTGAAGACAATTTGGAAAAAGCTGAACAAGCATGCCTAAATACTGACTGGAAAATTCAAACTTTACATAAACAACGTGCTGGTCTCCATCGAAGTGCAGGTTACCGGGAAGTAGCCACACTCCTTCAGAAAAACAGAAGGAAAGAAACAGAGGTGTTAAGCGCAGTGATGGAGGAGGATGCCAAAAAGGTAAGAATAATGTTATATTAACTTTTTATTATATAACAAACATTTACATTTTTAAATGCTGGGTAGTCAAATGATAAAAGCATCTTTTTTTGTTGTTTTTTTTTTTTCTGTACCAGGAACCAAACTCACGACCTTGCACTTGCCAGGCAGGCGCTGTGCCACTGAGCTAAATCCCCAGCCCCAAAAGCATCATTTTTGTTGAAAAAAAAAAGTTATTTTAGTGAATGTTTCTGAAAGAATTCATCTAATATTGATGCTGCCTGAAAGTGATTAAGTATCTTTCTCATTTACATTATTATGTCTCAGCTTGCAGCTCCTGGATTTGTCCTGGCTGATTAGATAATATTACTTCTTTAATTTATCTAATTCTTTATACTTACAATGTAAAACGTTTTAAATAGGCAGAAATTGTTGGCAGTGGCTAATAACAATGATTATCAATAAGAGAGAAATGTTTTTCTTTTCATAAGAAATCTAAGGGTAGGAAGTTCAGGGCTAATATCATGGCTTCAGGGACCCTTCAGTCTTTCCGCAGTGTTTCCTGGTGTATCACTTGCATTTTTTTTAAGACAGGGTCTCACTGTATAGTTCAGGCTGGCCTCAAATTTGCAATCATCCTGCCTCAGCCTCCCAAGTGCTGGGATTACAGGTGTGTGCACCACCATGCCTGACCTGGCTTTCATTCTCAGCGATGCCTTACCACTGAAAGTACTACAGGAGTCCCAGCTAGCAGGAAGGTGTTTCAGACAGCTGGGTGAAGGTAGAGCAGAAGTACAAAAATGTGCCACCTCTCACCTGAGCCAACTCATTTTTTAATTCCTTCCCAGGGTCCCATATCTTATTCCGTGCTGCATTTGGCTCAGATACCGCAAAGGATGCTGAGAAATGTAATTTTTAGCAAGGATTATTATGTTCCAAATAAAATTTTCTGTTCCTAAAGAAGAATCAAAATGGATTTTGAAAAGACAACTAAAAGTATATATCACACGTGTATCTTCGGGTAATCCTCCCTGCAACTCTGAGAGGAGGCTCTGTAGATATCACAGACGCAGGGTGCTTTCCTTAGAGCTGGGGAGATGAAGCTTGAAAGTTCCTTCCCCTTTCCACTGCTGTCTCATAATGTCTACTCTGCAAGCTGGCTTCTTCTGTCAGTATGTTTCTGTGAAGTCACCACCTTAGGTTCATTTTCCACCTCCTGCCCCAGTGGTATGGGGCCCTGCATTCTAACCCTTCTTTGGAGGGCAAGAAGGAAGGAGTTGGGGAGAGGGTAAAGCAGAGAGGCTGTTCGCCTCAGGAAAGTTTGCAGCGGAAACCCCTCTTGCAAATCAGGACTGCTGACTCGGGTTAGACTATGTAAAGTGTGGTTCTGCTGTACTCGGGCTCAAGCAGCGCAGCAGAGAGCAGACTGAGAACACCGGAAGTGCTTTTCACATCCTGCACAAATCCTTCTTTGGGTCTCCAGTTCTGAGTCCTGCAGCTAACCTGATGAATGTGTGGCTTTGGGAACTCACTCAAACACAGTGCCCTCATCAGTAATGTGAGAGGTGGATCTCTGTGGTCCTTCCTTCTGTGTATATTTTGTGATTCTTTAAACTTAAGATGTAAGAGTTTTTATTATTTAATGCATTGATATTGTTTATAAAAATTATATGTAAAAGACGGAGCTTTTCTAGAACTTGGCAAACTTTTGGAATGGAATAATTTTAAATCTATTATTTTAGTTATCTTCTGAGGTAATGTAAAGATGATTCACTTATCAATTTATTAGGAAGAAATCAGGGACTAGCAAAGATTACTTGTCTTTCCTATCGTCAAGGCTGGGCAAAGAATTAATGCTCTGAATTTTGTTAACTTTATCACTAAGATAAAGCATTCAACTTAAATGAAAATTCATTGCCATAACACAAAACTGGTTTAGTCTCAAAGGATTTAAAACTTAGGAAACGAATTGTTATCTCAGCCACAGTTGGGACCCAGCTGTGTGCTTTGTGGCACTTGAAGATCCTACATGAGACCTCAGACTCACTTCGCTCTCTAGTTCTTCCATAGTTCTGGTCCGCCACAGGAAGTCCAGTGCTGTACACCAGACAGACTGTGTGTGTCTGGAGGCCAGAGGTGCAAGACCTGCAGCAGAAGCAGAGGGCTTGTTTGGCTCTCAGAGGTGGAGTTACCACCATTTTCATATGATTTTTTTTTTTCTCATTTACTTGTATGTAGTGGAAGGAAGCGGAAGAGAAAGAGTTGCATTTAAGGTCAGAAAAGAAAGCTTCTGCCCTTTCAGATGCACCTAGAAAGTGGTTTCTAAAGCGGGAGATGAGTACTGGTTTGGAATGTGCTGAAAATCCATTCATTCAAGGTAAGTGTCCATGAGTGTCTGCTCATGCTGTCATAGATTCCTTCTTTTAATAGGCTCCATTGTGGATAAATTGTGGCATTTTATTCACATTTTGCTCAGTTAAAAGGTAGTCACTAGTTACTATTTTTTGGTGGGAGGGGCAAGTGAAGGTGATACATTAAGAAAAACAGCTCCAATCAAGAAAACGCTCACCCATCTTGTGGAACTTGCACCCCACAGATTCATGGTCCTTGGCATCCCCTTAATCTAGAATGTGATTTGTTCCCAGAGTACTATTTCTGGTTTACTTTAATCAAAACATATACTTTGCCAGTAGCTGGTCTCCCAAACAATAATGTATCAAAATACCACAAGGAATCTTCTTAAAAAGAGCTAGTCAAACATCTGATACAAGGTTTTGATACAACCTTGATATAAAGTTTATGATAATATCAACTGAAAGATCAAAACTGTAATTGAAATCCTAGAGTACAGGTATGTGCATGTTTGCTGTGTTTTGTATTTCTTCACCCTTTTATAATATATATGCATTACTTTAAAAATAAGCACTCATATATAATTCACATCCCATACAGTGTATCTGTTTACATTTTATGATATTACTGTAAATGAAGAAGTATATTCAGGCCAGGCTTGGTGGTACACACCTGTAATCCCAGGACTGCAGGGGCTGAGGCAGAAAGATGGCCATGAGTTTGAGGCCAGCCTGGGCTACATAGTAAGTTCAGGGCAAGCCAGCACTGCAAAGTGAGGCCCTGTCTCAAAACAAAACAAAAATAAATATATTCAGAGCTGTGCAACGGTTACCACTAGAAGCCATGTTTCTGACACCCAAAATAAGTCCTCTGCCCATTAGCAGTCACTCTCCATTTTCCCACCAACCCCACCTGCACCCCCAACAAGTAATGGACTTTCTGTCTCTTGATCTTCCTTGTCTGGCTTCTTTTACTTGGTATGTTTTGAGTTTCAACCATGTTGTGTCATGAATTAATACTTTATTCCTTTTTATTGACAAATAATACTCCATTGAATGGATGAATATTCTGTATTACTTTAGCTGTTCATCAGTCAGTGGGGCTCTTAGGAAAATGTGGCTATATGCATTTCAGTTTTTCTTTAATGCTGGGGATTTAATATAGGGCCTTTAGCCCTTAGGTAAATGCAGTACCCCTGAGCTACATCCCTGTGCATGACTTTTAACTCACAGATTTGAAAAGTAAAAGGCTAGGTTAGATGCTGTCATAATCGTGCCAACTTTTGAACCCCTCATTACCTTTCATGCTGGAAATTTAACCATCCAAATTGCATCCGAGTAGTGCTGGGGGGAGTGGGGGTAAAATGTGACTTTTCCCCAAATTAAATATTTTTAAATTATCTTACAAAAGATTAACCCTCTGGAGCTGTTTCTTCTCCCCAGCTCCCTCACACTTAGTCCTGTTTTTTAAAATTTAATTTAGTTTATCGGTACAGCTTAGGTATATACAGTGATCACATCATAGGGCACTTATACCCATACATGGTATAACTTCATTTGTCTTTTTCTCCCTCCTGTTGCCCTTCTCTCCCTTCCCCTCATTTACAAAGCTTTGTTTCCATTTTATTCTTTTCTCATTTTTTTCTTTCCCCTTACCTTCTTTCCCCACTCCCCCTCCCTAGTTCCCCTTTCCTTTTGAACAGTTTCTTCTCATTTCACCATCTCTTGTACAATTTGGTTCTTACTTACACTTTCTTTTTCACACCAGCGATACAGTACATATTTACACGTGTGTCTGGTGTATTTCAGTTAAGAATATGGTTGCAAGATCCATCCATTGAGCAATAAATGTCTCAAGTTTGTCCTTCTTTATGGCAGGGTAATACTCCATTATATTTTTAAAAAAAAACACACATCTTTTTTATCCATTCCTCAGTTGATGGGCATTTGGATTGTTTCCAAGGTTTAGCTATTACAAACTGTAGCACTATAATATGCGTACACGTATATCACTATGGAATGATGCTTTCAGTTCTTTTGGGAAGATACCAACAAAGAGAATAGCTGGGTCCAATGAGACCTCTAGTCCTAGCTTTTTGAGGAATCTCCACACTGATTTCCACAGTGGTTGCACCAGCCTACACTCCCACCAGCAGTGGAGAAGGGTTCCTTTTTCCCCACAACCCTGCCAGCATTTGTTATTGGTTGATTCCTTGATGATAGCCCTTCTTTCTGGGGTGAGATGGAATCTCAGTGTTGTTTTAATGTGCATCTCTCAATACCAAAAAAAAAAAAAAAAAAAAGAGGTGATGATGACTGAGTGACCCAGCAGTCCCGCCCCTTAGTATACTATAGCCTTGAGAGCTGAAAACACATGTTCACTTAAAAACTTAGACATGAGTGTTTGTGACATCATTATCCATAATAGCCGAAAAGTAGAAACTGCCCAGATACCCGTAGATGAGGAATAGATAAACAAAATGTGATATATCCGTACAATGGAACCTCTTCAGCTGTTTGTTGGCTTTTTTGTTTTATTTCATTTTGTTTTGTTTTAAAAACCACTACCAAAACTTCAGCTTGGCTTTTAATTCCTACTACACTTTCCTTGCCTTTGTTCTTCTCAGAAGATAAAAGAAAGGGGTTTTAACCATTCTTGGCAGTTTTTACAGGCCAGGGCCATTTGACTGTTACTAAGGGTCTCCACTCCTCTCAGACACCCTGCCTTCTCACTTTCACAGCAGAGGCACACAGGCTGCAAAATGAACGGGCTGCCTCAAGCTCTTTCCCAGGAACTTCACAATTAAGTGACATTTCTGAAACGGATTCCTCAGCTCAGAGTAAGTTGATAAGCAAGAAGGATTAAATGATAGTATAGTGTATTGACCCCGTTTTCCCAGGTGCTGATACTTAGTGGGAAACCTACTGGAGGCAGGAGAGCCTCTGCAGTGTCCCAGGTGGAGGGGTGTAGCTGCAGACATACCGCAGAATCTCAAGATGTCCCCTCGGACCAGCACTGTTGCCCTCCCACAGAGCTCAGGCCCACCACAAGCCACCCCCGGACTAAGGGAGCCACCTAAGGTGCCCAAGTGTTTCACATCTGTGGGAAAAGAAAACTTCGGGCTTCTTGTCCAAGCTGTCACATTTGTGAGGTTCCCTGACTCCTCTTGCTAGGGCTCCTTCCAGCAGCTACTGGGAGGGAAAAGTGTCGGCCCTAGAGGCAGAAGCACACTGTGAAGGCCATGGCTTTGCACTGGCCAGGTGGCTTTTGATCCTAAGGTTTGGGGTGGAGGGTGTTTATTTTTGGAAGGGACTGGAAGGGAACATGTCACGAATGTAGTCACAGCATCAGCTAGCACATTTCCTGGTAGAATTTTTATCTATAATAAATAAGGGGTGGCTGGGGTTATAACTCACCGGCACCTTGCCTGGCAGGCTCAAGGTTGTGAGTTCAATTCCCAATACCAAAAAAAATTAAAAATTAAAAAAAATATATATATATGGGAGAGGATAAGATGTTGGTGTCAGACATTGTTTCAACTCACTTTCTCAGTAAAGCTGCCATATAGATGAGGAACAATTTAAAAGAACTTTTACAAAAGTCTGAAAACACAAGCTCTTTATTAGAACTACTAATAACAAGGCATGAGATTCTAGTATTGTGTAAAATGTCTTTACTGACTCATATTTTAATATGAGTGTGGCATATTCCGTACCAGAATATGAATTAAACTCATTTGTGAGTTAAGTGAAATACAAGAGACTCTCCGTTACTCTCTGGTGTCACATCAGAACATACACTTCTGTTTTTCTTTTGTTCTCTCAGTTTTCCAGTCTGGCCTCAAACTGCAGGGCTCCGGCAATCCTCCCAGTTCAGCCTCCCGAGTAACTAGGGATATAGGTGTGCATATTGTGCCAAGCAGAATTTAAACTTCTTAAGTGAATAGTTCTGAATTTGAAAATGGAGTGGAAGAATCAGCTAACTTTATGTCATTTGGCAGCAAAACAAGAAAGCATAAAAGTTGAATTCCTTTAGGGAATAAAATAGTTTTTCAGAAATTGAAATGGACTAAATATAACTAAATTTCAGGAAGTGTATTTTTAAGTTTTGTTTTTTTAATTCCAGTATTTACTAGCCCCTCAATCAATCTGAAATGGCTGTTACACTTGGACAGATTGTACTATTTTAATCATGATTCTGGATTCTTCTGGTGTTAGTGGCTGTTTAAAGCATTTTTTTATTTTTCTTCTTGGGAATGTAGTCATAGAACAAATTTCACAGTTTTGCAAGTTGGAATGCTTTTTCTCATTACTATTAACTATCATAGTAAGGAAGCTTACTGTTTTGAAGATCCTACATTCCCTTTTAAACAAACTTTCTTCCTAATTTACAAATTTTACCAATGCTGAATAAACAAAAGCAGCTAAGTTCTCTGATAGCATTATTCAGTACAACAAATAAAGATTTGGTTGATAAATAGAACTACATAGGGCCGGACCATATGTTACTTGCTTTGTTTAAGAAATATAGTTTTTTGTTTTGTTTTTTTTTTCTTCTGGTACCAGGAATCGAACTCACGACCTTGGGCTTGCCAGGCAGGCGTTGTACCGCTGAGCTAAATCCCCAGCCCCTGAAATTTGGTTTTCAGAATATTCATTTCATTCTAGATTTTTGTAGCACATTTACCTTCCAAAGAAATGCGTTTGGAAAAGGGAATGTAGGATCTTCAAAACAGTAAGCTTCCTTACTATGATAGTTAATTGTAATGAGAAAAAGCATTCCAACTTGCAAAACTGTGAAATTTGTTCTATGACTACATTCCCAAGAAGAAAAATTTAAAAATGCTTTGAACAGCCACTAACACCAGAAGAATCCAGAATCATGATTAAAATAGTACAATCTGTCCAAGTGTAACAGCCATTTCAGATTGATTGAGGGACTAGTAAATGTTAGCATTGCTAACATCAAAAATTTAACCACTGCTAATTTTAAGTTTTGTTTTCAAGTTTCTTTAAATCGAAAAACAGAATGGGACAGCATGGAACAAAATCTTATCAAGAAAGTGAGAGCCCTTCGCCAGAGACTCATCGCCCAGGCTCGCAGCAGAGGTCAGACCCCCCACCTTGTGGCTACCTAGATGTGTCCCCTGGGGAGACTCAGACAGGTGGTACCGGTTTGCAATCAGTGACTCTGATTTTTTATTATTTACATTAAACCTCTATAAAGATGGCCTTTTGTATAGAAAAATTTCCATAAAATTATGTGTTTATTTAATTTTTACACTTTGTAGCTTGTAAATGGCTTGAATTCTTCACAATAAAAGTTTTTTGAAAACTTAAAGTTGTGTTCAGCTCTTAGGTTGCAAAGACGGGCATAAACTTCAGTACCTGTAGTAGTTGCAAGTTTTTCTTAAAGGCACGTGGAAAATGAAGAACAGGAAGTCATCTCAGCAACTGTGTAGCCTGGACAGAGAGAACGAGGCAACCCCTGCGGAGCTCTGCCCTGTGGGCAGCCTCCTGCCCTGTGCCTGCAGCAGGGCTCTGCTTTGTTAGTGACCCCACTGCACGCCCACTCGTCATTGGCTGTGCCACTCCAGCTCTGTCCACTGCCTGCTTGTCCCAGCCGACTCATCCCCATCCCTGGCTCCCCGCCTGGCTTCCCAGCAGAGGTGCACTGGACCTCTGAGCCTCACCCCCATTTCTAAAAGGGGTCAGATGGAGCTTTCATGGGACAGGCTGAGGAGGGTTTAACAGTAGAGGTCATGGGATGTCAAATAGACGTGGTGCAATGGCAGCTAAAAACTGCTTGTTCGCTTAGAAGCATTCGAATTTTACAATCCTGCGATCCTGCCTGAGAGAATCAGCTTGTATATTGCTAATTCTTTACCCCTGTTTGGTTCTTTACTATGATTTATGCCTACTCCATTGCTTTTACAACTACACACACCTTGTACATAAGATATAATAGTTCGTTATTGAAAATTTCTAGCTAGGCATGGTGGTGCACACCTGTAATCCCAGCATATCGGAGGCTGAAGCAGAAGGATCACTATGAGTTCAAGGCTACAAGTTAAAGGCCAGCCTGGGCTCCATAGCTAGGTCAAAGCTAGCCTGAACTACATAGCGAGACCCTCTCTCAAAACAACAATTCAGGGGCCGGGGATATAGCTCAGTGGCACAAGTGCCTGCCAGGCAAGCTTAAGTTCCTCAGTTCGATTCCTGGTACCAAAAAAAAACAAACAATTCTGTCCTTCCAACCAGAGTGAGTCATGAATACCCTCAACCAAGTGAAGAGGTTCTGGGGTCCCCAAGCCTACATTTCTCCCAGTAGTCATCTGGATAAAGTGGCTGCCTTAGCAGATCTCAGACACTTGGCTGAATTTCTTCGGCCATATGTGCTTGGTTGGCATTTAGTGAACTGTAAGATATAATTTCTGGCTCTCCCTGCTTCCTGGCCGCGCGTGTCCCTTCCCGCGCAGACACCTCACCTTACCCGTTTATTCATAGTGTGAGTGCCCTGGGGTTGAAGAAGGACTGAGCTGGGCTGAGGCTTTTGCGCGCTGGCTCTGTCTCGGGCGTTCTCTACAGCACTCGGCGCGTGGCGGGGCCGTCCTCAGTGTGGCTCCTTCTCTCCGGCGATGGACGGACTAGCTAAACGCTGGGCTTCAGAGGGATCTACGCGACTGTCTGCGAAGCCAGTGTGAGCTGAACAGTACTGAGGGGGACGCTAACTGGGGCAGAGGACTTTTCATACCTGACGTTTTTTGGGCCTGGCCCTCGCCTTTCCCAGTGTCCTAGCGAGACTGAAGCCGTTGCCGAAGACTGTTGCAGAGTGGCCTTCGCAGGCTGCTGCAGAGGGTCGCTTGCTTGAGGTCTCTCCTCTTACCTGTGCTTCACCCCCGTCGGCAGGGAGGCTGACCGCGCGAACAGGAGACTCCTTAACCTCCGAGCGTCGGGTTCAGCCCGAGCTGCCAGCCGGGTCCAGTCCGGACACAAGCACCCGCGACTTGAGCAGGGAGAGTGGCTGGCCGTGCCAGAGAGCGCCTGCACCACACGGAAAGCCTCGGATGAGTCCCAGGGCCGGGGCAGAGCTCCAGAGGGCAGCCCTGGGCGGCAGGCCCGGCTCGGGTCTGCGGGAGGGGCGGTGGGGCATCACCAAGGCCGGCCGGCGGGTGTGGACGCAGCGGCCCGCGGCGGGAAGGGACACCCGCGGCCGGGCGGCGCCGCCCTCCGGCTCCCCACGCACTGGGGTGCGCCGAGAGGACGCACCGCGGAGCCGCGCGACGCCCCTCCCCGCAGCCCGCACCCTGACGGAGGAGAACCGCACCACGCCGAGGGCTGCGGCCGGCTTGCGGGACTGGCAGGCGAGACAGCGGCAGCAGCCTCTAGCTAGGGGGGCGGAAGCATTAGTGTCTATTTCCACGCACTTGCAGATGAAGGTGATGGAGGGGAAATGCTAGGTGTCAGATACGCGAGTTCCTGTTCCTCACGTCCGAGAATGAGTTTCAGCGAACAACGGAAGAAGTAGGAAAACTGAGTGAAGAGTGGAGAATAGGGTGGGGGACGGGGACTAGGGATAGCTCCTGGGAGACGGGAGGCGTCCCCAGCGGGTTGCCAAGGAGCCCACCTCTCAAAGGCAGCGCCACAGCAAAATCATGAGGCAGGCACAACGTGGGTCAAAATTATGATCAGCTAATAAAACTGCAGCCGAGCCGCCTGATAACGCGGATTCGGCGGTAGCGGGTACGTGAGCGGCACCACTGCCGGGGGCGACAGTCTGCAGTCCTGGTCTTCGGTCTCAGCTGTCCGGTCTCAGCAGGTGGAGGGGATGGCCCACCTGGTCAGAAGGTGATACCCGTCGTCCCCAGCCCCCTCCACCCCGAGGGAGGGGTGCAGACCCGGCCACCGTGACGAGTCCTCAGGAGCACCTCCGCCACACCCGACGGACTCGAGGCCCGGCGCTGTCTGACCGCCTGCTCTGCTCCTGCCTCGCTCAGCCGCTATAATAAGAGGATCCGAGGGTTAGGAGAAGGCCGCACTCTCCTCCCAGCTACACGCTCTGCACCCCAAAGCCCCTGCCTCCGTCAGGCGGCCGCGTGTGCGGCGGGAGAGCCGGGCAGAGCAGGCACGGCGGGGGCGGAGCAGCGGAGAGGGAGAAGCCCGCACCCGTCCCCACGGCTGGGTGTCCAGCGGCCGCGCGAGCCCGAGCCCCGAGCCCCGAGCCCGGCTGCGCCTTCCCGGCGATGGCTCCGGCCTCGGCGACTGACAACGCCCGGCAGCCAATCGCCGCCTCGCCCCGCGCGGCGGGGGGAGACCAATCAGAGCGGAAGGCCCAAGGTTCTCCTCCGCCTCCGCTCAGCAGGCTTGTTTCCGGGGGAGGCGGCAACGCTGCTGGGGTCCGGGGTGGGGGAGGCGCGGGAGCGTGGCGCCGCGTGGGGCTCGTGGCCCCGGAGCCCGCGGTGCAGAGAGAAAGCCCGGCCTGCGAGCTGGGCCTGGGGCGCCCGCTGACTGCTGGCCGCGCGCATCGGGGCAGGAAAGGGCGCACGCGGTGACTAGTCTCCAGAGCCGCGGCCCGGAGGCTCAGAGTGCGGGCATCGCTGTTTTGCGGGTCGTGGGACTCGAGTACAAGCGGCGCTGCTGGAGATCAGATGCCAGGAGGTGGTCGCCGCCTCGAAGAAATCTTGCAGATAGTCACCAGACAGCGCCCCCGTCCTCCTCCCTTTGGCAGCTGAAAAGAGTGGTACTTGTCAGGCTCTGAACACTCCTAGCAGTCAGCCCCGAAGTGTGCCTGAGCTCCGAAGGAGTCACATGGAGAGACGTTCTCCGTTCTCCATGTGAGAACATCGTGTAGGTCGGGTGGACCGCTCCTGTCTTCCCTGCAGATATACTTCCCTCACCTTCCCCCACCTCAAACCAGACAAGAAATGGAGAAAGGTAGTTTAAACCAGCAACTTCACTCTTTTGCCTTTATGTCTTCCCCTGCCCCCGCTTTGGATAATCAGATTTGAAGGATATAATTTGCAGTGCTTTCTAAGTGTTCCTATGAGCGTGTGTTTGACCCAGACACTTCCAGAGGAGTGATGTTACTTAGCAAGACAAGAAAACGAAAATGACAAACTTTTCCCAGGTCATTGTCTCCTCAGATCTGCAATGATCTTTCCTTGTGGAGAGTTTTCCTTCCCTCCAGTGGAAGTACGTCTGAATTGGCCAGAGTTCTACTAATGAGAACTCTATGTTGGAGCATGTAGGTCTACATGCAGGTTTTACTAGGCAAGGAATCTTTCTCCGAGTCACCCTTTTTCTGATGGACCTAGTCATACCTGCTTTCCAAAGTTGCTATGAGGGTCAGAAAGCAGGTATCTAAATCAGCTCCAGAGCTGTCTAGCAAATAGTTGAAATTAGTATGTTTTAGTTATGCTAAAGGTACTGCTAGTTTTAAGTATTGTT